TTTCATTAAAAAGAAATACCCATAAGACATATTAAGTATACGTAATTTTAAGTATACGCACAATGATTCCGATAATGTCAATTTAATGAAGCGAGATACGCAATGTACACCCTTTAATATACCAATATCCTGCTCAAACGTTAAATAAATGACGACTAATAAATAACTGTTGGTCTGATGTTATCGATGTACCTGCATTGTGTATATCAGTTGGTTTGGGAAAGTCATCCGTCTTAGGATAAACAATTACAGCTTTACGATTTGCCGTTTGAAACAATAGAGCCGGTGCTAGTTTTTACATTAGCAACTGGCGCAAAAATACATTATCGGAAAGTAAAGTATGAAACAATTAATTTTAGAATAATATGCCGATTCATCATCCTCTAGTAAAACTTGATAGCACCTACATGGATGCAGCCACTAGACTTCGCTGTAATCGTTCGCATGCAATTCGATAGAAACAGGCGTTTACGATAGTAAAAAAAAAAAAAAAATTAGTTATGTTGTTTCTAATAAAAATTTATAGTTGAAAAAGAACATTTACTGGCTGCACGCGTAACGTTGAGAGTGAATTCGTGTTCAACAAAATATAATACATAGGTTTGAGAATTAATTCCCCAAAGCATTCCTACCGTAGGAATAAACTTTTGTACATATCCGAGATCGCTATGTTGTAGTGAAGTTTAAAAATCAGACTTGCGATTTTTTAATGTTTATTCTGCAGGCTCGTTTTTATGAATTTGTTAAAGCACTATTTGGATAAATCATTATTCTACCGATCCCGAGTTGCGGAAAATGTTAATGGTCCATGGACATATTTCTTCTATTCTATCAGCTCATTACCTGTTAAAAACACTGAAAGGATTCTCGATCAATTAGCGTTTTTATTTTTTTTGTTTTCATTTATGCGATTCGCGTTATTTTTATTCTGTTTATTTTTCGTTATTTGGTTTTTTTTCTCTCGTCATATAGGGTCTATTTTCTTTTGTTCGGTATATAGCTCTGTGCTGCCGTTACGAACATTCACATTTCACATTGACCAGAATTACATACGCGCGCGTGCACACACACACATGGCCTTTATTAAACTTTTTTCTACGAATCGCTGTGAGTATGTATAAAAACTACAATATATTTCCGTAATAAAAAACACTTTAAACAAATCCCTTTACAAAATAATTCTGTTTATAAACACTGACCATATTTAAGGGCGATAAATAATGGAACGATACTGTTTTCGAAGTATTCCACTATTGTTTATGCACACTATATTATGGACTTGGAGAAACATAAATACTACAGTGTTCAACATTATTATGGTCTGTACAAATTTATCAAAATTTTAATTTTTAACTTATATGAACAACAGATTCGTTTGCTTTATTCTAGTACGCATTCATTGAATATTTTTTTCATCATTCCCATTCGAGGTGTACACTTTTTTTTCCTTAAAGCTATAATTTTCATCAGTTCAAATATTTATTGATACATGCAAATACACATGTTTTTTGTTCCTTACTTCATTCCTTGTAAATACGTCTTAGTAATTGTCACTTTAATATGAGGATAAAATATATAAACCGACCGTAAAAAATACTAGATAAAATTTAACTATATTTAAAATAAATATAAACCTACTGTTTTATACCATTACGTAGCGAAAATACTTTCAACATTAATGGTGGAGTGTTTACTGCATAACAATTTACTTCGCTGATACTAACTAATACTTTATTTTGCATGAATTATATTAGCAATCTTTTATTTTTATTTTTTTATTGCATTTAAAACAATGATTTATCAAATGTTCTTCAAATATCGAGTGATTAAAATGAAACAAATAACTTTCGATAAAATTTTATTCGATTTTACGTAATTACTACCACGTATCAATTTTACATTTTAATTGCTCACGTATATGCGTAAAAATAAACAGAGAAATTATTTTAATTACATTATAAAAAGTTATAGCCCTTCCTGATGTCATATGTCCATCCATACCGATGTAGGTGATCAGTCAATTGCAAATATTATTTAATACTTTTGTTAACTCATATTTCAACATTTATATTTATACTAATAACGTTCATATTAACTGTTTCAAATGTTATACCATAAAATAATATACTTATATGGGTATAATACGCTTATCATGAAATAACGAACGGCTTATTAGTTTTGAAACATCCACATTTTATTATAGGATGTTATTTATTTATTTTATTCAACTTAATAACTATGACAATAATACTTGACAAACTTAATTTTGAAACATCAAATCACCAAATTATATGTTTTCTGAGATATTTGAAGTTTTCCACATAATGTAAATTATGAATACTATATTATACAAGATACCATTTTACATATTCAAATAAATTTGATTATCACGGAATTGAGTGAACCAAATCTGTTAAGGAGTGAAATAATTATATATTAAACACTCAATTTTAGGAAATTCTGGACAAAATAATGTAATTATTATTTTTAAATGTATCTTGGTCATTATGAAATCCAATAAACTGTTTCGAAAACAATTATAAGTTTCGATCAAATATTGTTCAGTAATTTTTGTTTTTTAAAAAATTTTACTGAAGACATTTTTATCATTGCAAATTATTAAAAAAAGAAATGTGAATTCGTATTATAAATTTCTATTTCAATGCAACTTTTTACTATTTGATAAGAAGTAAATTTAATATAAAAATAATAACACGTATTTTATTCTTAATTATTTTAAGATTATCACAGTAATGAAATACGAGAGAAAATCTTTTAAAAAAATGTATAGATGTTGAAAACCATCTATTATTATTTTTATAATTATTAAATATCATGACGATGAAGAATCAGTAAGTAACTTTCGTAATTTTTAATCAACTCATTCAATTTTAATTAAAAGCGACGATATGGATTTTTGACGTTAAAATATTCATCAATAAAATAAATAAAATTAATATATTGATGCACTTATAAACAATTTAATGCATTGTTATCACTATGAAATATATAACATGTGTTACATTTCTGGCAAAATACTTTCATGGAAAACATAACTGTTAACAACGGTCAAACGATGCATAATGTTTATGGATAATTGCAATGGTATAGGATATGAGAGCTGATGAGTTTAAAATGTCCGATTTGAATAAAAAAAGTTACGCGTTCCCCGTAAAATTCACAAAATGTTCTCGCTCGATGCCATTATCAAAGGCACAAAACCTTCTCAGAACCGTTACAACAATACTGCTTATTTTGTGATGCAATATCAGTGGTGTGCATAAACCACTTCGCTTTGGTGAAAGTGATTATTAATGAATTGTTATTCGTAAACCGATTCGTTGAAAATACCCAAATGCACGTGAAACGCAATAATGTACGCGAAGAGTGCAGTATCGGATTTAAAAAAAAAAGTGAAGTGAATCCCAAACGAAGTTGTAGTATTCGGAACACACAGGATCCGAAAATTATTAAATAATATAATATCCAAAGGGAATACCGTCAATTGACTGTGTTTTTATTGATATTATGTTAGAATCAGATTGAACATAATCGAGTTGCTCCGCTGGAAAAACTATGATAAGTTTTTACTTATTAAAATAAGTTTTTAGAAGCTCGGCGTTTTAACAATGGTTACCAAGATTCAGGGATTCCCGGAGCAAAAGTATTCTGAACGAGCAGCGCGGAGCAAAGGATTATTGCAGAAAAAAAAAACAAACGAAGAAGAATAAAATGGATTTCCGTTTAAATCGAATCATAATATTATACTAATACAATATACATGTATCGAGTATCACGGTGATGGTGAGACGTTATCTCCCGTTACATTATATACGAATGCGGAACGACGTCCGTTTCCACGCCGTTTGCTCTCGTATGGAAATCGATCCTGGTGCACGGTTACTAAACAAATATATACATCTCGGGGTGTCAATCGCGTTCGAGATCGCCGGAGCACTCGAAAAGTCGTACCCGACAAGATTTACGGGTTCTCGGTCGAACGGTCTACCCGCGAGACTTCGTTGCTGGCACACCGATGCACCGGATCGATTTATCGTGATACAAGTACACCGGGCTTTTTCACCACGAACCGAGCGAAAAGTGATCGGAGAGATATACGATAGAATCGTGTCGCAGAAACGCCATCCTTTTCTCGAGGACGGGGTCTAAGTTGTCGACAACAGACGTAGAAGTACTACGAGCTTTGGTTTTTATTCCGAACGCCTAATCGTACGTAATAATGAAAATAATCGTAATAAAATCGTCGTCTCGGACGTCTCGAAAATGTTCCGAAAACACAGTAACGTCACTTGCGTGTTTCAATGGCTCTAAACTTCAGTTGTCGTCCTTTGTTCGTTAAAAAAAATATATATACCGTACCCGCGGGTAGGCACATTGTATCGCCGACGAGATTCGCAGAGTAAAAAATCGCACGCAAACGTTATTCTTCCGCAGTGCACCTAATCTCGAAAATCACTTCCGGGCCATTTACTCGTGGTTGCACGTATACGCACGAGTTACGGTCAAGAGCATCTGTGCACCGTTCGGATTCGCGCTCAAACTTTTTAACGTTCGATATTTTTTGATTATCTCACCCATCACTTTTTTCGGTAAAAGCCATTTGGACGGATGATTCAAAAATCGGATAAAACGTTAAAATCCACCGATGCACGGGGCTTTTAAACGATTTCGTTCGTTTGTTTGAAATTGATGAACAAAAGTCTAATTCAATCGTTTCATCGGACGACATAGATGTTGTGTATCTATATTTTTCTCCTGCACTACGTGACGACATCAAGATAGGAGCTTTGTTTGCGTTTCCGAAAGCTGCGTTTATTACTTAAAAATAAATTATACTGCGATGTTCTTACTTTTCGTGTTACAAGCACGTGCAATATTAAATGACCACGGTATTCGTTCCTACAATATTCCCCCGGCACCCGGTTCTGTCCCTCCCTTTCCACCGACCCAAGAGAACATATCCTCATCTCCAAACAAACCTCGTGCGATGCGTCCATCGAATGTACCGCAGTGTTCGTCGCCCGGGTACACACCAGGAAAACCGGAAACGGAACGACACCGACAAAAAAAATAAAATAAACGAATAAAAAAAGAAAAAAAAAAGGATACCGACAACGTTTACGATTGCTTCCGCGAACGCGACAACCGACCCACTCTCGCCACGACCGTTACGTTAAGACTGGCGAACGGGCGGACTTGCGGAGTGCGAGCACATGGTCCCGTCGAACGGGCGCGCGAGCATGCGCGACTGGCGCCCGGCCCTAGTACAGCGGAGTGTATCCGAGTGTATTTGCTCGTCCCTACGCATTCCTCTGTGCGTGTGCGTGCGCGTTCCCGCCTCGTGTTAAGGGTAAAAACAAAGAAAAATGCAAAGGAAAAAACTGCCGTAATAACAATTTGAGACCGACGAGCAAATGGATGGACACCGTCTTGCGCACCAGATCGGGGAAATGTAATAACAATAATGTCGCGCGTATGAAAAATTCAAATGCGAAATTTCCCGCGCGCCCCCGAACCCGGGAGTAAGACGGCCGGTCGAGCGTTCGCGTATTTCGCTATTTATATCTTTACGAACGAGACAACAACGAGTGGTCTGTGTCGAACGACGACAATGAAAGATGGAAATCGGGTTTTGAAAAGAATCTGATGTACTTACGTACACCGTTTACTTTACCGAACCATTATCGAACCCGGTTGTCTCATGGAGGAACGTTACCTGAAAGTCACGCGTGTTATCAACAACGTTGTTGCGTGCAAGTTTTCTTCGGGAAACAATAAAACTCCATAGTAACACCCGACCACCCGGCTACAATAAGGCTTACGTGGATCGCTTGTGAGCGTTGACGAATATTGTACACATCCGTTAAAAAAACCTGTCCAGTCGCTGACTGACAGTCAGTAATGAGGTATTTGCGCGGTCAAGCCCGGATTAAGGGTCAATTGGACCCGACCCCAGGACACCATACACTTAGTAAGCCCCCTTTTAACTTGAACTTAATAATAATTATCTCATTACATATTAATTCTACATATTCTACATATTTCAATTTTAATATTCTACATATTGATCCTTGGTTATCCAAGGAGCTAAAACAAATATTATTTTTAAAAAAGAAAGCACACCTTAAATTTAAAGCGTCTTCTAATGTTTGTGACTATAGAACATTTTTTCTACTTCGTGCAAAATTTAAATACGAGTCAAAAAAATGTTTGCCTAGCTATACTAAAAGCGCAAAACAATTATTAAAAAAGAATCCCTGTAATTACTGGAAGTTCATTAATTCTAATTGCTCTGATAATGATATTCCTAAACAGTTATCCTTCAATGGATCTGTCTCATCGGATAAACAGGGAGCTGCTGATCTATTAGCCTCTTACTTCTCATCTGTGTACTTAAATGATCAGTCTGTACTTAATCTCGATGACTTAAATATTCCAACATTCGATCTACCTAATAATATTTCCATCAGTGTTGATGATGCCTATCTGCATTTCATAGCTTACCGTCCGTTGGTCCTGATGGCCCCCGGTGAGTTTTTGTTCCAGTTGAAATTTATTATCTCTTATACTCTATGGCTTATCCTTAAATATATCTAAATGTAAAATTTCAACTTACACACGTAGTCGTTCACCAATAATTAATTCCTATAATATTTTAGGTTCTGAAATTTTGCGTGCTAATGAATCTGTTATTGATTTTGGTTTCAAACTTACCAGCTCACTTGATCCACGACCACATATTGACATGGTATGTTGTAAGGCATTGAAAATTCTTGGATTTATCAACAGGCTGGCTAGGGATTTTAAACTAGATTCGTCATTTAAACTACTTAGTTGTACTTAAATACAACCTATATTAGAATACGGCGTAGTTGTTTGGAGTCCTTTTACTGCTAATGACTCTCTCCAACTTGAAAGAGTTCAGCGCCGGTTTCTTTGTTTTGCTGGTTTCTTATTAGGCATTGAACACCCTCCACATGATTATTCAGTTGTCGCTGCTAAATTAGATCTTGTTTCATTAGCTGGACGCAGGTGAATGCTTTTCGTAAAATTTCTAAAAGGACTGTTGTTTGGTCAAGTCGATTCATCTGATTTATTATCCTTACTCAATTTCAAGATCCCTCCCCGTCAAAACCGTTCTAGTATTCCTTTTTATGTCTCTTTATATTCGAGCAACTATATGAAAAATGAGCCTATTAGGCGTTGACAGCCAATGAGGACCCCTCTATAGATCTTTAATTTTAAAATTTGTTAATCTTTTTTTTTTTTTAATATTAATCTACTTTAATAACTTAAATTTAATTAACCTTATTTGTCATTATTTGTAAATTAAATTTTGTACTCTGTTATGAATGTTATTGTAATTATGTAATTTGTATAAATTTTAAAAAGGGTTTCAAACCCGTTTATTATTATAAAATAAATATTAAGGACTGTATATTATTATTTATTATATAAGCTTATACTATAAAAAAATATATATATACAAAACAGATAAATGTATGTAATAATTTAGGTATTATACATAATATATAAAAATAACACACTTTATAGATTAATAGAACTATAAGTTAAATTTATTTTTGAAAACTGCTTTGAACACGTTAAAAAATATATTTTGGGGATAAAGATAGGCCCCGAAACCGTGCCTCCCTTGTCACCCCTTAATCTGGGCTTTTGGGCGGTTCGACCCCAAGAAACTTATTCGGTGAACGGCATACGCGCACGGTCAATGCGTTCCCGGTGAAACGACGCGTGGTCGATAATGTTGTTTTTAAAATCTCGCAAAACTCCGAATCCACTGGTCACTAAATATTAAACAGCTTGGACCGGTGTTGGCGTCAGCACATACACGTATGTATAACGGTTCAGGCGCACTTCAGCGAACCAAACGTCTTTTAGCGATTACATTTCTTCCACGGTACCTATTGCGTCGTGGGATGCTTTGACCTAAAATTCCAATCCCAGCGATTAAAATAATATTGTTTCACGCAGAAACGAGCAGTTCTGTATGTACCGAAGTTACCGGGATCATAACGACCCATATTAGTGTAGGTTGTGTGTAAATACGATCCACTATATACGTAAGACACACATAATACACACATATATATATATATATATACCATAAATATGTAACATTAACTTAATGCATGGTACGAACGGTATAAACCAACAAAACCGATTGCAACTACACTTGCAAATACGAATCCAACGAATTTATTAAACTCTGTAGTCTTAAGTTAACTACAGTTTTAATTTGATATAAGTCAACTGTCGTAAACACTCTATCCGAATTGTTGTTAAAGGTTAATGAAGGAGTTAACTTTGCAGTCTTCGGTATAAAAAAAAATTTAATATAATACTTCGTTCGCGGCTGTTGATCTATTAATCGCTATATATAAGTATCATTGAATTATAATTTGAGTTGTTTAGTTTATTAAACGAGTTATAAGTGTTAAACAAAGATAATCGACTACCTATTTGAAATGTCAGTGTTAATTAGTTTACTTTGAGACGAAGTTGTTTAAGTTCTCAACTACAAATTAAATGATACCAGCACTCCTGTACATTTACCATATTGTTAATATAAAACTGATCCGTATCATTACCAGTATTAAGATCAGATAAATATAAAGATAATATGATGACAATTTATCTAGATAAAGATTGAGGATAAATACATTATTATCTAGGTAAAAAAAAATAAATTTGTGTTGTACTTTGAAGTTTAACTTTTTGAGAGTACACCTCAGATACTAGTATACTATATAGTATTTCAATATTATTTAAACGCCGTTTATATTTTTAAATTAATGTCGGTATTAGACATTATTATTAATCAGTACACAACAAGTGTAAATTAAATAACATTTTAAAAATGAAGTGTAAATATTAAAAAAAAATATATTAAACATGTTACATGTCACGTTAATTTATGATTTTTGTAAACTTTCATAACAGTTTCAGAACGTATTTAAATTTATATTAGTAAACACTCAATTGGTATTTGGTAAGATACTTGTAATACTATGTGCATTATCATAGGCGTGTGCAGGATTTTGTGTCTGGTGCAGCGTACATTTTTAACCAGCTCTAAAAAACAATAAGAAGCCCTCTTATTTCCTTTATATAGCCTCTCCACCCCAATCAACGCCTACGAATTACATATAGGTAGATACAACTTTATAAAATGAAATTACTTACCTGCTATTAATTCTTTTATTTCAGATTTTTTTTTTCAAATCAAAAAAAAAAAAATTTTATCTTGTGGCACTTTTTACTAGTATTCAATAGTAAAAATCTTTGTTTTGCACGAACTTTTTCCTGACCACCGATTCGTTTACTTGACATGGCTATAACTAACAGAACATTAAAACGAGTTCCGATTTGAAATTTGAATAAAACTGCAGACTGCAATGACAGTGAAATATCGATGATAAATTAAAAATATAATAGTCGATTAGGTTATGTGATAACTGATTACTAACTATCCGTTCTTGTATAACCGTTTTTGAATAGTTAATGTCCTATTGTCATTATGATTGTATCTATATCTATAAACTGTAATCTAGTGTGTACGTCGAATTTCTCCAATAATGCCCATCTATTTTAAACTTGTATTGATAAAATTTTATTATTATTTTTCATTTGAATAACATTGAGCATTTAGATTTTAATTTAATTATAAACTTAATATGTTTAAAATGATTTAATCTATGTATATATTTCAAATAAATATCTACCAGCCCACTAAATCCAAAATAAATTGTCAAGTCCAGCGAAAGCAGCCATTCGCTGCACCCGTGCTTACGCATATGTGTATTATTATAAATACAGCAAGTAAAAGAACATTTTATTTTATGTTAAAAATAATAATATGACCCGATTAAATAACATAGCTCTGACTGGGTAGCTCACCAGTAATTATTACTAATAAATAATTATAGTCAAATTTCCATTAGTTTACCAGCTAACCGCCCACCAACATAACTTAACAATATTTACTTATAGTTTAATAATATAAAATATTATTTTTTAATTTATGTTACGTGGATCATTTGACAATTCCATTTTTAAGTATCAATTATCAATAAAATAAATTGAAAAGGCAAATTTGTTTTTTTTTTTTTTGTGTACAGTTGAATTTATCTAGATCAATTTTGCATCCAAGATAATTATTTATATAACATGCAACTA